AACGAAGATTATAAACGTTTCCTACGTTACATTATCAAGAAATCTACAAGCAGAAAATGTTTAGGAAATGAATTCCTGACAACCAGAAATATATTCTGCAAAGCTCCAAGATCTCAGAATTTAACAAATGGAAGTTACATAATGGGCTCCACTTGATAATTTGTAGTAGAAAATATTTAAGGACAAACAGGAAAAGAAGATCAGAATATAAGCAACTTCCGTGGGAACAAAAGAAGAAAAACTACTATTGGAACAGAAACAACGACTAGCATTTGCAAAAATTGCACGTCTTTTGTTGCTTTAAAGAATTCACAGCTAAAATCTGTCTTCTAAAACACTGCTATAGAAATTGATTCTCCAACAATGCAGAGCAATCGGGGTAATTGCTTTCAAGAAAAAAGCCAAAAAAAACCGAAGATACATAAACCTGTTTAGAATACCGAGGCTCTAAAAATGGGTTTCTTTGAGAATGCTTGCATCTCCGGCGCAGAAATAAAGAAAATTAAAACAGAATAAAAATGAAATTACGACCTTTCAAAGCTCTTTAAACAAACAGCCAAGTTTCGAAATCCTTCACCTTAGCTAAAGTCGTTCAACCACTATTCCGAGAAACTGCAGTTGAAAAATTGTACATACAAACGAAATTGAAATCCACTTCCAAGTTCCAATTTGCCTCCCATTTAGGACAATGCCTAGCAATTTTCGCTTTATCGTCACATCCCAAGATCACTTTGTCAGCTATATCGATGATTAAACCTATGAAACCCTCGCGTTCCATGTGCGAAATCAAGAACCCGTCGTCTCGATAGATGGGAAAGCGACCAGCATTGACGAGACTCCGTGAGACAGCCTATGGGGACGTATGTGCTGACCGCAATAGGCAATTTATGACATCGCCAACAATGCAGCAAGTTCAAGCATCTCTGCTTAACGAGATGAAAAGGAGAACAACTGAATGACCCTTAGGGAAAATAAGATCCAACACATTTGTCTCAAAGAATACAAGAATTGTTTAAAAAAGAAAAAATGCTCATTAAAGAAGAATAACGCAAAAAATGTCCGATGTTCAAAAGACGCCGTCTCCAGTTCTGTTCTTAGAGTATAGAAACAATAAGAAATTGCCTTACAGTACTAAAGACAAGAAACTACACGGGAAACTTGTTAAATATTAAAAAGCAGAAACACGGAGTCGGAAAAGAAAGAAGATTGGTTATCACGTAAATGAGCCAAATGATAGATGAATGAATAAGTGAATGGTTGGATGAGCGGACAGACGAATAAATATTGAATGAGGGATGAACAACTGAATAAGAGATTGAATGAATGGAATGAATGAATGAAAGAAAGAAAGAAAAAAAGAAAGAAAGAAAGAATGAATGAATGAATGAATGAATGAGGCATAGGTAATT